AAGGGCTTGATTGCCGGAGCTATGTGTCTGTTCAAGGGGAGTTCTTTGATGCAGATGAAGGTATAAATTGGCTTCTGCTTTGCAATTTAATAATTCTTTCTATGGTTTTAATATGTAAATCTGTGAAAATAGGCTATGTTGATCTGCTGAAATCACTAATAACCTATTAGTATGTGTTTGATATTTTGTTAAGACCAGTGGATATTTTTTATCTTATTGACAGCAGTATTCTTGAGGTTAAGCTTATTCTCTCTGCCTAGTCCCTCTGAGTAAATTGTCACTACATGCTCTAGTTTATAAACAGGGTATTAAAGAGAAGAAATGATTTGAGTTGTATATTTCCATCTAAATCTGAATTGTTGACTAGAATAGCAATTCAACCGCCTACTCCATCTTCCCCTTAAGCCTACGTTACAGCTATCTGATCTTATATTACAGAAACATATCGAAGATTTACAGAAGTGAGAACATTTTGCCTAGGTGCATCTGGCATTCATAGAGGATAAAATAAAATAAGGTTGTCATAGATGGTTTGAACATGTCCTGTGTAGATATGCATATCCATGAGTGAGGCAATATATTGAAAGTGGTAAAAGGTTATGATGTAGAGAATTTTTCTCCAGACGCCTAGTCTTTCAATATTATAGCTAAGAGCAAAAGAAGATGGAAGCAAAAAATAGATGTAGGTGAAACCAACTAGTTGTTCACAAGGTTTAGTTCTTGTTGCTACACTTAGATGAGGTTCAATTTATGTCAGGAGGCATTTGTTTTTTAGAGACTTTCTGTGTAAGGATAATCCTGATGCCATAGTTGTTCTTTCTACAGAACCCCTAATGTGACTTAAAAATCAGATTGGAATTAGTATAGTTGATCTTATTAGAAGTCAAGAGAAGTTCTTTCTACAGAACCCCTAATGTGACTTAAATATCAGATTAGGATTGGAATATTTGATCAAATAAGGAGTCAAAACTGGAATGAAATAGTGGGGGACAAAATACATAATGCTTTCAACTACTTTGGAATTTAACTTAATTTAATTGTTGTCGTACGGTAGAAGACTGGCAGAAAATATCGGTGCGTTATAGTCCAGCACGTGTAAAAAATGAAAAGTTGTATCCTAGAAATTTTTATGATTGTGGCTCAGTTGAGTAATGTTTATGCTTTCCAAGTTAAGGTGATGATTGATGGCAGGATGCTGTATTTTGACAGCTGTCAAACAAAATCTGTCATGTTGCCTAGATAATTCTTGCAATACTACTATGAATGTAATTGCTCTATTATGATAGCTGTCAGACAAAAAGTCATGTTTCCTAGGTAATTCCTACAGTCTATGATGAGTGTACTTTTCTTTATGATGGTACCTCAGATTTCTCCGTGGAAGGGTCGTCTCTGAATGGATCTACATGTGGACCTAATATTGAATGGGAACTGCGCACCACAAAGCTCAAACTCCTTGAGGAGATTGAAAGAAGAAAAACCGCGGAAGATGCTCTTAATATGATGCGATGCCAGTGGCAGAACATTAGTACTGTTCTATCTCAGGCAGGGTTAACACTTCCTTCTCCTTCAGATGTCATTGGTGATATACAGCCTGATAATGCTTCAATTGAGCAGCTCTATCAGGAAGTAGTTGTCTCAAGATTTGTTGCTGAAGCAATTGGAAAAGGTCAAGCTCGTGCAGAAGCTGAACTAGCTGCAGAATCAATTCTTGAGTCAAAAAACCAGGAGATTTCAAGGTTGAGAGACAGGCTCCGATACTATGAGGCTGTAAATCATGAGATGTCCCAGAGAAATCAGGAAATCATTGGTAGGTGTTGCTTCTCTTGCTCTACTCAGTTCCTACTTGTAACAACTCTGATAAATGTCCCTTACCATCAAGGCATTGACAGGTTTCGTCGTAATAGCTAATAGTGTTGGGGCTTGCTTCAGCTTTAATTTCCTATAACTGAGAGAATCTTATATCCCATTCAAAAGAAGTACATCTAGGATGAGTGTGTACCTTGCATTCACATAAAACACTTGGTTGGCGTCTCTCTCAATCAGCCAGGCACCTTTACTTAGGCGAAATGTATATCCAATTTCCCCTAGTTCCATAGACTATGCTATATAATAACTTGTAGTTGTAGAATACTTCTGAGCTAGTCACAACCTTCATTTATTGTCAGACGCACATCTGTTTGATTAGATCCATCATTCAATTAAGGTTCTGCATTATCTGATATGAGCAAGATACTGCAATATTTGGCCTACATGTCATACTCTGCCCTGATTAACGTTGAATGGAGTGGGTTATTGCTTCTGCTGCCGGCTTATTCAACGTGTACAGACAGTGACATGGTGATTTGCAGAATTAATGTAGCGGAATACTTTTATCTAACTTTTTCGAACGATCTACCTTGTTGGTTGCCGATTCTTGGTTTAAAGCCCCTTGGTCAGGATTATTTATCAGTTGAGAGTCGTAGCTTGGGAAAACTGTAACTTTTAATTTATTTTTGGCTTTAAAGACCCTTGGTCAGGATTATCTTTACTTAGTTGGAAAACCGCCATTTCATTTAGTGTAGCTTTAATAATAACCTACTTGTTTCAAAAATCTCTCAGTAGCTCCTATATTTTGAATGTGATAGTTGAAATATATGCTTATGCTACTACAAGTGATGTCATTTCTTTATCCGAGTGACAATTTCATTTCAAACATTCTGCAGATGTTGCACGGAAGCAGCGGCAGAGGAAAAGGACCCAGAAGAAGTGGCTATGGAGTTGTATAGGGCTCTCTGCTGCCATTGGCGTTTCAGTGGTTGCTTATAAGTACCTGCCACAAGCAAGTAAACATCAACCAAGTTCATACTCCAATGAATCAACAAGTGCTGGCACTCACAAAACTGCCTAACAAAATTTGTTAATTTGCTCAGCCAACATGAGATCGGGTTTTAAGAAGAGTTACATATAGGTTAGGTCTTGCGGGAATAAACATGGCTTCACGCTGCAGTTTTGCTCCTCTAATAAAAGTTGGATGAGCTAGTTAATCTTCGAAGTTTTAACAGTTGGTGGTGGTGCTAGATGAAAAGGGTTTTTGCTTAGTGCCTGTGCCGATCAGATTCAAGGCTGTTAAGTTTGCTCACTTAATAATAGTGACCTGAGTTTGTACTGCAGTTTTGGCTGTACTCAATGTTGATATCTCTGTATTGGGTACAGTTCACAACTCGGTAGATGATCAAGCCAGATCAGTTCATGTTTGTATACGTTAGGCAGTCGGTAGGAATGATGTACCTGCTTCCATCTGTGATGTAACGTTTCTATTCAGTTATTAATTAAAGAGAGAGATCTCTGTAATGTTGGTTTGAGAGTTCCACCATTGGAAATAGGGTAATGACATCTCTGTTGATGGTCTGTGAAGGGAAAATAAAAACTAGATGAGCTGGGTAATAAAGAATAGAGAGCTCTTCCTTGGTCGCAAATGGAACTGCACATTTCTTCCGTCTTTTTTCATGTCAATATAATAAAATACTATATAATGATTTATCCAATTAATAATATATTATTAGTGTTCCCAAGTATACAAGAAAAAATCTCATGGAGAAAAGTCCAGCTAAACATAGTGGAAGCAACACAAGGCGTGCAGGGATTATGGCATCCATTTCTTATCATGATATTATGGGACCGTCCCTTCAGAGATAACCCATAATCAATCATCAACCATTTCCAACTAGAGGGACTGAAAAGGAAAAAAACGTCATAAATCACCCATTTTGATGAGCACGATTCTGCTAAATTTTATTTGCTTCTTGTCAATAATCCAATTTTTCATGTGTTACGAGGAGGGACAAGCAAGTTTCGCTTCGCTTGGCAGCAGGAAATCTATTTTGAAATTCTAAAGTGTGTTGTGTTCAAATCGAATTTGAATAACACATGACAGAGGTGGAATGACTAATATGATAGTGTACCAAGAGAGGGAGAAAAGAAAGTAATATTTATACATAGAGAAGTAGTAGTGTTGTTGGCTACTAAGAGATTCAGTTAGAGTAGGAGTAGGCTACATATGCATGAGTCCTAAGTAGAATATACGGGAAAATGTAACATTTCTGGAAAAAGTTTTTACATATATGCATGAGTTTTTTAAAAAAAGTTATGGGGTGAGAGAGGCTCGAACTCTCGACCTCAGGATTACTCAGAAGCTATGAGACCTACGAGCTAGCCAACTGCGCCACCACCCCTTATTGTTTGAATTCCTTTTGCTTTTAACTCAAAACATTGACAAAATAAGTGGAGGTCTTTTCTGAAGAAACCAAAAAGAAAAAGTAGCAATAGAACCATAAGTAAAGAGAAAGAAAGTCACTATTGTAATTTGTATGTATGCCCGAAGAAAGTTGTCTACTCATTTTAATCACTTATGAGGAAATGGGGTGAGAGAGGCTCGAACTCTCGACCTCAGGATCACTCAGAAGCTATGAGACCTACGCGCCACCACCCCCTCATGCTATCCGTTCACTCTTTTCTGTATTTGACCAAACAACAATCATTTAAAGTTTGGTTTACCTATTGTATGCTAACTAATCTAAAAGATATGATGCTATTGTATACCTATAGTACTACTTGAAATTAGATTTGCTTATACAACTGAATGGTGATCAACACCATTGCTCTACTCAATACGAACAACTTGTAATTTCAAAATTGAAATGATGAGGAACCAATGTTTGAACGTATATTAAAATAAAGAATATCCAAAAGATGATTAAGTACTTCAATTTCAAAGTGTGGCGGTTGCCCATAAATTGCTTTAGTGCGCACTTAATCTGATTCAACTAACTACCAAAAATTGGAGGAATCAATGCAAAAAAAAGTGTGTTTGGTCCTCAACTGAAATGCATAAGCTGAGTCTTTAATACAACTACAGTGATCAACTTCAAATGATGGCGGCTGTGTTACAAAAACACAACACTAGTCACCTGCCTCAACCTGGTTAAATCTATCACCATGTCAGTATAAGGTTCCAGGACCAGAAGAGCTCAAAACAGAGCTAACCGATTATTTCTCATGTTTTCTAAGAAAGAATGCACTGCAAATTCTCTAAATGCCGAGAGCTAATAACAATGCTCACATCTGAAAGAGTTATAGAGTTCGGGCTTTACCATAAAACCACAGATGTAAGCAAAATCTGCCATCTTGGAGACACTTTTATCACTTGGTGGCAACTTCTAATAAATCCTGCCAAGAGGTAAGCTTTTCCCTGGGTTTGTTTTTCAGACTACCTCTTCTTTTCTCTTCACTGTCTATCTTTTCCCAGCCACCAAATGGAACAATTTTGACATTCCTGCTATCTAACAATTGGAGGAGGCCCTCCCTTCCGGGCTTAGATATGCCAGATCTTGATGTTACCACTCCTCTCTCAACATCTTCTGATATGCTAGCGACCTGCTATGTCTCATGATTAGCAAAGCTAACTATATAATATTCTAGAATGTAAATTCCTTGGTCACGATGAGGGGGATAGTAAAGCATCAGGTTGTGATAGATATGCACTTACAGTTTCTTCAGCACAGTAAAGATTTGTAGCAATTATCCCAGTTGGTCCTCTCTTCAACCACCCACATACATACAAGCCTTTCTCGACTTGTGCATCTTCAGAAGCTTCACTTAACACTCGTCCCCGAACATTTGGAACAATACCTGGAATAGCAGGTCCAGATCATTTAAATTTGCAAGAGTGATGGACCACACCGCAATCAAAGCTTTCAAGCAATAGATGTGAAAGATGAAAACACCTTTCCACAGGATGGGATAAAAAATGGAATCAAAACCACTAATGTGAATGGAAGTATTTGAAATCACTAATAGAAAAAACAAATGATGAATTGAAAACTTGAAATTATAGAGAGATCTATTTAAGCGAAGAGCATTAAGAACAACCAACATGTCTGTCATGATTTATAGTTTTCATCACATACCTTTACGGTGATCAAAAGGCAAGCCATCAACAGGTATCGACTTGTAACCAACACTCTTCAATACCAGACTACAAACAAGAGCAGTACAACACATCAACATTCAGTACAGAGATAGGTTTAGCTGCAAATAAAGAAGGAATTAAAAAGGGTTTTCCTACACCACTGCAATATGAAATAAAGTCTAGAACTGAAGCAGTTTCTTACATGTCATATGACACTTGGTAGAAGGAAGAAAAGATTTTAAATGCAGGGAAACAAAGAAAACTAAAGCAGTGTACCCGCATTCCATTTCTTCAAAAAGTCCAGTACCAACTGCAATTTGTTTCCCAGAGCCAACATCTTCTGGAGGAAGAAAAAGTTCAGCGTTAGAAGTTCTCTCATGAATTCAACATGCACATTTATAAAATATAACTCTGACATAATGCAGACACTATGTGAAGTCTTTCACATCTTTTGGGCGAACTATACACACACACACGCACACACAAAACACTAAAGCGCTATTTGGTTTTCACACAAGTATTCTAGATTATAGTGTATGTACCAACTACCAACTTGCACAGACCTCGACCAATCCATCAGAGGCAGCATGCGACAACCCACAAAGACGTAACCTGCTCACCAAAGCTGAAGGATTTGGCTAATAATGAATGTTATAACTAGGATATAGACCTGGATTCTCCAAGTATTTACTCTTTCTTATGCCTCAACCACTCAGTCACCCGTTATTGTACAGAAATGGCAATAATGGAAAAGGCCTTTGGATTAATTAGTGCATACACATTTCTTATCAGACATTTGTTTAGTTACATAAAAAACTGAATTTACATTGTATAAGCATATGTTTTATCTGAAATTGGATAGAAATATGTTACATTAATTACCTTGGCCAATCATCTATTGTGATCTGTGACGGAGGCATTCTCCAACTGAAAACTTAGAAATAGGAAAAGAAATCGGTGAACCTAAGATGTTTCCCTCTAGAAATCATGTGGGTCCTGTGGAAGGAAGAAAATAGGAGAGCTTCTGGTGGGATAGATAATTCTTATGTACATTTGAGGAATAGACACTCATTTCTAGTTTCGTTTTACTCTTCCATGAGGTGGATATGTACAGATGATCAGGAAACGTCTGTGGAGGATCATATTACGTAGTAAAGTCACCACTTTTTGGTATACCGCTTGGCGGTTGTGTATGGAAAATTTTCCATTATTAACAAAATTATTTAATGCATTACGTTAATGTATAAGGCGCAAAAGTATTTTTATCATATTATATGCTCTTATCCACGTGTTGCTATATACTTATTGCACATTCTATCTCAACAGAATAATATAGAAACACTACAATAAAAAATGTGCACACAAGCATACACTCAGTCAAATACATGACTTGCACAAACACATACATGCACACCTAACAAAACATAAATCCTCATCAAACAATCCTTTTGTATACATGTTTTGTTGCGAGATTCACATCCTCACCAGACAATGTCAACTCCATGCTAAAATGATTAAATAGAAAAAATGGTAAAAGCAGAAAATTCTATTGAAGAACATATACCCAAAAAAACAAAAAAGTGCAAGGAATTTTATAAGCATACAGTTCTCTCACAGTTTACCTTTAAGAATTGTCCTCTCCACCCGCAAACCAGCAACATGACCACTTCTACAATCTGATTCCAGGAACCTGTCTGGTTTCCTGAAGAAAACAAAGTGCAGTTCTTTTTGACCTGGATTGCATACGGAAGTTGCAGGAGTGGCTGCCTTAGAGAGCAGTTCATGAATTCTCCTTTTAATCCGGTTATTCTTTAGTTCTTCCTTTGCATACAAAACAAAAGAACAGAATACTCAACTTGGGGATACCGAAGTTATGCATAACAATAGTGCATAGAAGCAATGTGAAATTCGTGGAGCAAAGTGCATCAATCCCTCTTTAGCTTAAGTGGTGTTAGATTCAAAAAATTGAAGAATAGCTTTTGGTTGGAACACAGATTCTGCAAAAACTGTTTTCAAATTTTTAAAGCAAACTCCACCTTAGAAAGTTAAGCATTTTGATCTTGCACTTTTTTTCTTCTTCCAAGGCATTATAGTCCTTCAACCTTTTGAAGAGTAGTAACTGTTCTTTATGCTAAATATAGTAACAATTTTAGCATACAGGATACAATATTCAATGAGAAACACATAACAACCAACTTACATGATAAAATATAATGAAAATCACATGTCATCCACCTTTGCCTACAATCAGAACAATTGTTTGATGACTGCTTTTTCAGTTAATTTCTAGGGATGTGCAATGCCTCTGTTTTGAAGTATCCAAACATTCAAATGAAAACGTGAGGAAACTAACTAGCTCATGAAGTGAAACTTGCCAAATAATATATACTCCCTCTGTTTCAATTTGTTAGTCTTAGTCTGACAGGCATAGAGTTTAAGAAAGTCAGAAGACTATTGATCTTGTGACCTAAAACTAAAGAAATGTATAAGGTACCAAAATGTCCTTTAATCTTGTGGCCTTAAATATGTCATGTTGGATGTGGGAGTTAAAGAGCTGTCAAATTGGGAAAGAGGCTTTCTTTTTTAAATAAACTAAAAGGAGAAAAAGACAAACAAATTAAAATGGAGGAAGTAAGAAGACAACTCCTCACACCATCGAGGACCCCAAGTCTCTAACACATCCAATCAGCTTTTCAACAAGATAGGCTTCACTTTTCTCAAAAGGATCCAGCATGGCACATTACCCTCATTCTTGCACTTTATTTGCTTATCTTTTACTTTCTTCATTTGAAAAGACATGTCAGACAGAAACACTAACAGATCAAATTCAAACTTACCATTGTAGTTTAAGAACAATTAGGTTTTTTTCTCTTAATCATATGGTTGTTCCCCAACTCTTTTCTTTCTTCTTTTACATGGTAGTTGAAGCTAAAAAGAGAAGCAAGTTTAATCTTTCAAAAGATCGAAGGGTTTATCTAAAGAAAAGCAGTGGAAGCAATTATGCTACAAAAGAGTAAAGTTTAAGGGTACATCAGTTTCTTAGGAGCCTTAACCAGTTATATAGATAGCAGACATACCTCATCTGCTGGGGTTTTACTTAAATCCGCTTCCCGAATTTCAATGGATAGGTCCTTGATTCCTGAAGCAACATAAATTTCATTAACAACCCAATTACTGGCGCAAATAATATCTAGCTTTAATTATCTTGCAATTGTAAAGGTAAATGAATAGCATGTTGAATGAAAGTGGGAGGAGCTGGAAGCCTGGAACCAGCAATCTTAGACAGACAAAATATCCACGAACTCACGTAGAATTTCACGCAGTTCTTTCGCCGTGAAGGCTGCTTGTGCTGCTCCACGTCTTCCAACCAAATACACTTTTCTGACAATATTCAAGCATAAGCGTCATCATTTAAATACAAAATGGTTTTTTTGGTACATATTTAACTACAACATGTGATGACAATTAAATTGAAAAAGACCCAAAAAAAAAAACAGAAGGCAAAAGGCAAACCTAATGGAGCTCTCGCTTAAAGCTGCCAAAGCATGGAAGGAGATATCAGTTGTTGCCAATTCACTAGTTGGTCGTAAAAGGATACGTGCCACATCAAGAGCTACATTTCCCTTAACAAAAGTGAAAAACGCTTAGCAAGGAACCACATTTCACTGTGCCTACTCTTTTACAAAGTTCTAAACAAATAAGTTATAGGGTGACTTCCTAGAGAAGATTTTGTTTCAAAGTAATGCAAGCATTTCCTGAAAAAATACCTCTCTGATAAGACAATAATGCATCTACCAATTTCCCCCATAGACACTCAGACTATAAACCGATGAGTTGATTGGCGTATTAATGCAGTGAAGCATCCAATGTGGAGAAACATACTGTGGGTATCAACTATCAATTAAGCACCAGAAGTCAGCCCCTAGCCCAATATAAACATTAACAGATGATGTCTACATGGTAAGCTCTGGTTGTGATTGAATTATACAACATCATGAAGTCAGTCAGAGATAGAGGAAAAGATTTGGTAGGCTTATTTTTTTTTTTGATAAAAGTAACAGTTAGTCTATATTTATCCACAGGTATACTACCTCAAAAGTGTAGTTCCCCTCCAAAAAGTGTTGTAGTTACATAGGATCCTATACCTACCAAGTTACAGCCAGTCTATAGTTGTGCTGATTACTTCTGAGCTATCTTAGACTACTTGTTTACACCAAAAATAATACAGAGCTAAACAGTTAAGCTTAAATCTTTGTATGTTGCTCTGCTTTCCTTCATGACATCTCTGGTTCCTCTCTAGCCATATTGTCCACCATATACATGATGGGACCATCTTCCATCTCTCCTCCTTTCTTCCTGCATTTCCATCTCTATTCCAGCACTTCAAAACCTCTTTGATCCTTCCTGGTTTCACCCATTTAATCTCTCTCATATTGGTGAACATTTGCCACAGCTGGGTTGTCCACTTGCAGTGTAAGAAGAGATGGTTGACTGTCTCTGGTAGGCTTATTATTAACCCAAAATGAGGCATAAGGGACTTGTTCCATTGGTTTAGTTAAATCTTAACCAAAAATTGTTAATCCAAAAAGAGGACTCGCTATGCAATTTAAATTTAAGCAAATAGATTTTCTTAAATGACGGTAGTGTCAAAGCCAACTTGTGTACCCTCGACTATTCTATCATGTACCCTGTACATGCTGCATCTTTTTTTTTATGATGGAGGAGTCCAGGCAGCTTGGACACAGCTCGAGTATTCCATCGGTCCACTAGCATAGGTATAGAATAACTCTGTCTAATAATGCACTGGAAGATGGACAAAATCACCTAGCGTGTTTTGTCTGGGATTTGAACATGAGACCTCATGGTTCTCCTCCCACTTCTCATTGGCAACTAGGCCAGTACCTTTGGATGCACACGATTTGTTATTTAAATTTAAGCAAATAGTGGCTTCTTTTAAAAAGTTGAATACGCATGTCTAGAGACTAGAAGTACAAATTTTACCACAATTGCAACTCTGCTTACACATGAAATAGTATTATGGACATTATATAGACATACCTGACCAATAATAACAGCAGTATCGGAGCTCTTCAAATCTGGTGCCAGATTTCGGCAGTCTGGGTGGCCATTATACCACCAAACAAATTCTCTGGCAGCGTATATCCCAGATAGATCCTACAAGACATGCAGCGTTAGATGGATAAACAGAAACTGTGTTTCTTTAAGAAATAACAGAAGCATAGTGGTAGAAGATTTAGTCAAATGATACCATCAGTAATTATTTTATTTCTTTGATTGTTATGGAGCCATCAGTAATAATTGTTCCCAAAGACGCTAACTATAAAGGAAGGAAACTCAACAAAGCCACCCCGTTGAACCCTTCGGGGTGGCCCAGTGGTTTGAGCTTGGGACTTCCATGTTGGAGGTCTCAAGTTCGAAACCCCTTGCCAGCGAAAGCAAGGGGTTTTGCCTTCTAGGTCGAGCTCGTCGCACCAGGCTTGCCTAGTGCGGGTTACCTCTCCTATGTGGTTTGCGAGCTATTGCATAGGAGCGGGGGTTTTACCCTGTGCGCACCCAAAGGATAGCGACTGCGGGTTCCCCTTGTCATCAAAAAAAAAAAAAAACAAAGCCACCCCGTTGAGTAACATACTTCTTTGGGTATTCCTAGAGCTTGATCACTTTCAGCTCCATAAGAAAGCACCACCTGCAAAATGATATAATAAGTTTGAATCTGGTGGATAATACATACTGCACTAAAAAAGTAAAAAATGTAAGAGAATCAAATGCATCCTCATCATTGTGTAAAGTCTTAACTCTTACCGCATCATATAATTCACGCAGCTCAGCCAAAGATATAGAGGCTCCAAGAGAGACATTCCCAATGAACGAGCAACGTCTATTTTGAGCAACCCGAGAAAACTGGTTCGTTACAATCTGTTGCAAGTATTCTGGCAAACTAAGAGTTAATAAGAGCAGTATTTCAGCAAGTTTTAAAATGAAAACTATTCCAAAAGGTTATTTTACAACACTCCGGTTTGTGCAGCAGGATTTTGTTTGCTGGATTATTACTTGTTAATTGCTTTCTTTGTCTCAAATTGAAGCATTCTGTTAATCACTCAAGAATACTTTGCTTTACTCATATAGTGAAACACAAGATGGGTAGTTCATTATTTAAAAGTAAAAAATATACTACTACATGTCTCCAGAAAAGAATGACGATGTTTATAATATAAGGGTCAAAGTCTAATCTTTTATCTGAATTCAGCTATGGGATTCTCAATCTTTTGGAGACAAAATTGACATCCTTGGATAGGATTATATAAAAAGTACAATAAAAAAATTATAACTTGAAATATTTAAGAAATATTGGAAAAGATTTGTTCCCTTCTCCAAATAGTAATATGTCATATAAAATAAAATAGAGGGAGAGTACCATTAGCACCTACACAAATAATATAAACAAGATATAAACTTGTGCATTTAGAAAGAAAAGATCAAATTTTCAAGCAGTTATTACTAAATTTATTACCCAGAAAGTTTATTGCTGGTATGGAGTGAGGCAAAAAATAGTCTCAACAAGTGAAAAGGTCTATCCGGGGGGGATTCCTGCTTCTGCTTCTATAATTGCACACTTTTATACGCTAATTGTGGAACGTTTGCCCAGTTATTGGAGTACAACAAACACGAGGTGAGTGCATCAAAAGCTCAGGGTGAACTTATACAGTAATTTGCTCTTGGCCTGCCCCAGCACCTGCCCCACCCAGCTATTTACTTTTCAAAAGTACTTAGCCATCCCGACTATGTCCCATGTAAGAATTAAACTGCCCTCCCCTCTTAGGGTTCGCCCTGCCCTTCCCACCAGCTTCCTTTCCCTATTGCCATCACCATTCTGGAAAAAAAATAATACAATGAAGGAGACTAATTAAAGTATAGGACCTTTGTTTCAGGATGATCAGGAGCCACTCCGGACCTGACTAATCCAAATGGCGTAGGTAACCGATCAACTATATCAACTTCAGCTCCCTCGTGAGCTTTCAAAATCTGGCAATAGTTAAAACAAAGTTCCCCAACAATCAGAAAAATCAGAAGTAGTAGAAAGTTCAAAGCAGAGATAGTTGTACCTTATCGGCAGTGTAGAACCCAGCAGGCCCGCTCCCCACGATGCAAACACGTAATAGTTCGGAAGAAACTGTGGAAACACTCCTGCAGAAATTGAGAGCTTTTGAAAGAGCCATCTCTCCAAATTTCTCTGTGCCGGCAATGGAGAAATTTTTTGTCTGCTTTGGTGACGGGTTATGCGCACCAGGAGCCTTTTAAGGGCTGTTTATAAAAACATGTCCAACATTTATGATGTATTTAACATATAATCAAACTAGGAAATCGTTGAAGACCTAATTAAATCTACAAACTGATCCTTTCCTAATATCTGAATATTACAAAGAAATAGGTTCTAGCAAAAACTTAAACTATTGAAAACACTCCAAAGGTAAATGAAATGAAAAGAACACTTAAAATGTCGAAGGAAATTGGAATAAGATGGAAAAACACTTCTCTGATTAAAACATTTCCATCTAAGAAGTGAAACTTCTAACAGCATCAATATTTATTTATAATATGAATCTAAAGTACACAAAATTGATATTACATGCGGATATCCCAAGGAACTCGATTGAACGGTTGAAAAAGTATTACTCTTCGATCTGTTGTGGTATGGCCCTTCCCTGGATCCCGCGCCTAGCGGCAGCTTAGTGCACCGGGCTTCCCTTTTTATATTCTCCATTTGTAACATGAATTCTTAAATATAATTGTCTTCTCAATGTTGATTTATACATTATAATAATTAAGGATTGGTTTGATTTATTTTTCTCCACTTAAACTATAAAACCTTCAACTTCACATGGACATACATCATATTAGCATTCTCAAGAATTCTGTTAATGTGAAGTTTTCCTACAATCACTTCCAATTAAGATCAATGGCAAGTATATACAAGTTTTCAAAACTTGTATTTGAGTCACATTTGAGTCATTCTTTTTTTTGAGAAAACACATTTGAGTCATTCTTGAGTATATTTACATATCAATTTCACCATAATTTCCAAATGAGGACATTACCATTTTAAACTTTTTAACAGCATTAAATCACTCTATCAAATCAAAGATAACATTATCAAGAAAAAAACAGAAGTACTAAGAGAAGAAAATACATATACTTCATGCACCGCTTACCCATGAGAATATTTTGCAGACGGTTTGTTTGTCTCCCATCATATTTACATCAAATTCAATAACAATAAGTGTGTGTAACCATTCAATTATGTATACCATATTAAGTATGCATAGACAAGCCCTATGATTGTTGCAAAATATCATGGCAAATGCTAATTGGGGGCCTTAAAAATGGAACTGATTTAGAAACAAAAATAAAAATTCAGGGCATACTCAACAGTTTAAAGTGGAGCTAAATCATATACAACTAACCCAACAAGGCCAACTACAAAAGTTGTATTAATCAATCAATTATGCGTCAATCCCACTCAACTATTGATTTCCAACTCAGCCAGATGAAATAGCAATTCTCTCAAAGACCCAAGACTATAATCTGTATGGCAAAAAGGATGATGACAAATGAAAACATGAATGTGACAGGAAATGAAGAGTGTTGGCCGGAAAGCTTAGAACAAAAAGTAAATGCAGGATCTATAGAACAAGATTGGGCATATAGGTACTAATCCTTGAAGAAGAGATACGAAAATGTTCTTATCCAAAAATGAGAGTAATACCGTTTTCTATTATTTAAAGTTATTAAGTTAATAGCAACTATTGCTTCCATGATTTAAAGTTATTAAATTATGCATCACATGAAAATTGGGAATTTAATGATCATGAAACAAGTCAGCAAAAAAGGTTGGACCTCAGGATAGTTTAGATAAAAACTGAAGCAGATTACATACAAAATCATAATCTCTGACTCTTTGAAACATTAGATTTCCCTCTCTTTTTCCCTAGTTATTTTATTTTCACGAACTGTCCAACTAGACAACATAGGTTGACAAACTTGTTTGGGAAAAAATAAAAAACAACATAGATTCACCAACTTGTTTGGTGAAAAACCAAAGTTTTAGCTGTTCCATACTTGAAAGAGCAGAGACTACCTTCAAGGCCTTATGCTTGTCTATGACATCTTCAAACTCAAGATTCAAGATAAATTTCCATAGAACAAAGTGAAAAACAAAATCCAATCAGCAATCCAATCTTTGTGAAATAAGTAAAAAGAATCGTATGAACAATCTAATATAGCCCGACAGATAGCATTAAAGATCCAACACATTAATCAAGAAAGCATGTTCAAGAACAATGAAAGCTAAGTCCAATACCCAAAAGAGAATTACAAGTAAAATGAATAGTATGAACAATCAAACATAGTATTAAAGATCCAAAACGTCAATCAAGAAAGCATGTTCAAGAACAATGGAAGCTAAGTCCAATACCCAAACGAGAATCATAAGTAAAAAAGAATAGTATGAACAATCAAATATAGCATGACAGATAGTAATGAAGATCCAAAAAGTTAATCAAGAAAGCTTGTTCAAGAACAATGGAAGCTAAGTCCAATACCCAAACCAGAATCAATAGTAAAAACGAATAGTATGAACAATCCAATATAGCCCGACAGATAGCATTAAAGATCCAAAACGTCAATCAAGAAAGCATGTTCAAGAACAATGGAAGCTAATAAGTCCAATGCCCACAAAGAATCATAAGGAGAAGTTAATCAAGAAAGCATGTTCAAGAACAATGAAGGCTAATAAGTCCAACACCCACAAAGAATCATAAGCAGTCAAGAAAGCATGTTCAAGAACAATGGAAGCTAATAAGTCCAATGCCCACAAAGAATCATAAGGAGAAGTTAATCAAGAAAGCATGTTCAAGAACAATGAAGGCTAATAAGTCCAACACCCACAAAGAATCATAAGCAGTCAAGAAAGCATGTTCAAGAACAATGGAAGCTAACAAGTCCAACACCCACAAAGAATCATAAGCAGTCAAGAAAGCATGTTCAAGAACAGTGGAGGAAGCTAATAAGTCCAACACACACACAAAGAATCATAAGCAATCAAGAAAGCATGTTCAAGAACAATGGAAGCTAATAAGTCCAACACCCACAAAGAATCGTAAGCGCAGAAGTTGAGAATATTGTGAAATATTTCAAAAGTGGAATTACCAAGAAAGACCAAGTGTTAAATATGAAATTGGGACTGGCTAACAATCAATCATACTGCAGAGATTGAATTGGGGGGAAATGAAGGACTCTACTAAACATGAAGGAAATAACTACTATATAAAATGGAAATTTACCTCAAAAATTGAGAGGAACAGCAAGAACAGCTCTAATACTCAAAAAGGAGGAAGAAAGAGAGGAAAAGAGGAAACGAAATTTATTTATTTATTTGAAGGGTGGTAGGGTTCACTCCCCTTTTTATAGCACCGTTACGCGTAAAAGTAAAAAATTTAAAACGCGGGAGTGTTTTTTCTTCTTTTTTTTTTTTTATTATTAACAAAAAGCACACTGCTTTTTTTTCTTAATTTAAAAAAGACAAATCTATAAGAAAATAGATAAATTATAAATCCTGGCAATGCAGATTTGCCACGTTTAAAAACCAACAGACGAATTTTGGTATAAATAATTGACAAAATCCTTTGATTTTTAAAAAAAAATAATCATAGTTTTTAATAATTTTTTTCATGGAATTAGTCGCCCATGTTTTGTGCGAAAATTATTTATGAAAATTGGTCATTCTTTAAAAATAAAAAAAATTGATGGAGTTTTGTGGATGTTCTTTTAAAAAAGAAAATTATTCGCTTTTCAGTAATGTGCTTTGATTTTGTCCTTCAGTATTTTTTATTGGGCTATTTTTGCTTGTTTTTAGTATTTGTAATTTTCAATAAATTATGGATTCAATTTATTTCTGTGTGCTTCAATCTAACTCAAACTTTTTATGTTTGTGTGTTCTCGAGGTTGTGAAAGTTCGTCGGAGAATTTGTTGGAGAATAAGTGACTCAAATAAGGATCTAGATTACACTTTTAAGTTTGAAATCTTGTGTTTTTTTATATTTCTATTATCCATCTATTGGAAACTGATGTGAGTTTGGATGTTGACTAGGGATAGCTTTTGTGGTATACAAGACGAGGAAGTGAGACTGATTGTTCAGACATGTAAAAATAAGAGATGCAAATGCTCCATTGAGGAAGCGTGAGAGTTTGACTATGATGAACTTTTTAAGGAGGTTGAATTAAGTTAAAGAATGAAGAGAGGTAATTGGTCATGACTTAACGCATCTCCAACTTACTCGGGATATGACCTTAGATAGAAAGTTATGGATATTGCAGTTAGGGTACAAGTAGTTGAGTCATCTCTGTGTCCAACGATATATGTTTCTTCTTGCATACAGTAGTTTTAGCACCACTCTTATAGTTATAGTCCCTCAATTTTTGTTACTACATATTGTTTATTGTGCTTTGGCTATTGTTTTATCTTGTTGTGGATATTATTCTTTTTTCTCTATATGCTTTAGAATGCTTGCACATTTGTGATGTTTACATTAAGTCTGTTTTCTCCTTTTGGATTTTTTTAAGTATATATTACTTGAGCCGATTGTATTTCATAAATAGCTTAGCCATCTCCATGAAACAAAAGTAAAATTTGTATCAATTTACCCTTCTTAAAATTCACATGTGAAATTTCATTAGTATAATGTTATTGCTTATATTAATAAGGTAGAGGAGTTCAAGCTAGAATAATCATATTTTTCAATCGGATGACTGGTCAGAAGAGGTGATCAAAATTTTAAGATTTTTTCCTGAAAAAAGGTATAAAACTTCACGCGTTCAAACAAATTTGTGATGCAATTTGTCATATCATATACTCAAATTTAAGATGACCATTGAATAAATTTATTTATTTCCGTATATTATAATCAAACAATATCTAGAGAGAAATAAGAAAAACACTCTTTTGCCGTTTTAATTTGTTTAGCTTAATTATTATTTGGATAGTTAAAAAAAATTACTATAATTTTATAAAATACTTTTTAAATATTTTGAATAGTTAATTGAAACGAGTAATTTAGCCGTTCCAACTTTTCTTTCGCTGCAATTCACATTTGACGTTTCTACTCCGCCACATTGCCGATGGCCGGAATAACCATTGCCCGGTGGCTCGTTGTCTCTCCAGCGCCGTCATTCTCCATACTTCGCCGATTGCTCTCCCCTTATGCCCTTCGTTTCCACTACACTTCCTCTCTTCCTACCCTAATCCCCAAAACAGTTTCC